CGCGAGACGAGCGACTCGCGCGCGTCATCCAGGCCAAATACGAGGCTGGCCTCCTGCGTCCGTACAATCACGTCAACGGCTATGCGCGCCTCAACCGCTGGATGGAGCGCAACGTCTCGGCCGCCTCCAAGCGCCGCATCCTCAAGCCGCTCTCCGTCTTCCGCCCTGCATTCAGAGCGGTCGCACAGAGCCTCACCAACATCGACCTGGTCTTCATCGAAGAGGCGTTCGAGCGGCTGCTGCTCGACTACGACCGCGTCTTCAGCACGCAGGGCATCCCCGCTTGTCTGTGGCGCAGAACGGGCGAGATCTACAAGGGCAACAAGGAGTTTGCCGAACTCGTCGGTGTGCCCATCGAATCGCTCCGAGAGGGAAGGCTGTGCATCTACGAGCTCATGGCCGAGGAGAGCGCGGTCAACTACTGGGAGAAGTACGGCGCGGTCAGCTTCGACCCGGGCCAGAAGGCCGTCTTGACTTCGTGCGTGCTCAGGACCAAGAACAAGGCCATCGTCGCCGGCGGAACGAGCGGCAAGGCGGCCAACGCCATTGCGGCCCAACTGCCCAGATCAGCCACCGCGTCCGGGCAAATCACACCCGTCGCTCAGGAACAGCAGCCACCAGGCGCAGCAGCCGGACCAGTCGCGGCGGGAACAGGCGCAACTAGCACCTCGGGCGTCCTCAAGGATCCAAACAACCCCAAGGCGGCGTTCATCCACTGCTGTTTTTCGTTTACCATCCGCAGAGATCAGTGGAACATCCCGCACATGATCGTCGGCAACTTCCTCCCCACCAATCCGCCGTAGAATCACATTCGCAATGCAAACACTCGCAATGCACAACATCGTCTAGAATGCAAGGCTGAGTGGCCAAGTCGTGAAACCAAAAGCAAGAGCTGCTCCAGAGGGACCAGCAGGTGTTCAAACGAGCGAGAGAAAGCACAGTCTGTGCATCGCTCGGAAGCTTACTCGAGTGAGCAGATGAGGGAGAGAGTGGTTCAGATCGAGACAAGTCAAAGCGCGAGCCGGCTGAAAGCTCGTCTTTCAAGCAAAACGAGCCGAGATCGTGAGAAGACCGAAGCGCAAACCTCAAAGGCCCGACCCACTCGCGCACGCAAACAAAGAGAGAGAAAAGAGTGTGTGTTCATTCCAGGAGAAGGAAAGCCGAGACAAATCTAGCCAGAAAGAGAGTTCCGTAGGGGAGTGGGTTCCAAAGATCAGAGAGAGGGGGCAAGAGAAAGAAGAAAGAGCATTCCAGCCGAAGCCGGAAGAGGGCAGAGCCTCAGAAGCGGTCGGACAGGAAGAAAAGTGTGGGTGGTTTCTACCGTGTCCCGCGGACCCTGGCGGGTGGGGACTCGAAGAACCGAACAGCCACTATCCTATCCTTAGTGCCTCTGGGCCCCAGCGCCTACAGCCCTTTAGAGGATGTTGAGGCCAAGGTTGAGACCCGAAAGGTCGATGCCCTTGTTCTCGTTGGTCGACTGAACGTTGTGGCCACCGTTGTAGTAGTAGACCGACTTGGGCACACAGCAGCCCTCCTTGGCCTTGCAGGTCGAGTCAGCCGCAACCTTCTGGGTCTTCTTGCCGCCAAAGAGATCGGTGAGCAGACCAATGTTGATCGAGACGTTGCTCAGGTCAAGCAGCTTGTTCTCGTTGGTCGAAACAACGTTGTGGCCCTCGTTGATGTACACCTCGTCACCACCGCACTGGGGCTTAGGGGTGGGCTGGTCGTGGTGAGGCTCGGGCTTGGGGGTGGGCTTGTCCGTGGGCTTGGGC